CAGGGGGAGTGGGAGAGGGAGAAGCAGGCTTCCCGCTGAGCAGGGAGCCTGATGCGGGGCTCGATCCCAGGACCCTGGGATCATGACCCGAGCCGGAGGCAGAAGCTTAATGACTGAGCCACCCAGTCTCCCCTAAAATCTTTAAAAAAAGAAAAAAGTTAGAAGCTATCATATCATTACATCAAATATGACTGAATTTTTAATACCTGATAATTACTAGAATGCTGAGAAGCCTGCTATAAATAGAATTTATATTAGAGAAAGAATGTGTAAATTAAAATGCCTAGTAGATATCCCATTTCGTTTTCAAGTGGATAGTTTGTATTTTCTTAGTCTGTATCCCTTGTAGGCACTTATTAGTCTTGTTTCTTGTTACAGAGAAGAGTTAGAGAGAGAGCGAAGGGTTTACTGACCATGACGTAAAGTCCCATGCTCTCCTATATGATTGGAATCTGCTTTGGTTACCTTTTAACTGTGTGACTTGGGGCAAATCACCTGGCCTTTCTGAGCCTTGGAATTTTGTCTTTTGTATGTGTGTGCTGCCTATAAAACAGGAGTAATGTATCTATTCTATAGAGTTATTATAAGGATTAGTCAATTTATGTAAAATATAACAGTGTCTTGTGCATAACAAGCAATCAGTGAATAAGTGTTAGCTGTTCTTCTGGTGAAATTGTTGTTTGGGTCAGTGATTTCCTCACCTCCACCACAAAAATCCCTAGTAACTTTTCATACACCTATATGTGAGTGTTTAAATTGAATGTCAGCAAGTTTACTTTTGCTTATCTTTGTGTTGGTTTTGGCAAGGTCAGGGTCCTGACATTAGAAGCCCATCTGTGTGGAAGGACACAGCTTTTGCTAATAACTCCTGGCATCTCCCTTGGATTTTGCAAATTATGACCAGGATACCTACAACTTGCCAAGTTCAGCTGAAGTATGATTTAGAGTCAGCAAAAGATTGTTTATTATAAGCTTCCTATTTAAGATCCTGTAGGATGTGGAAGACCTCAGGAGTGACTTCACTGCATAGCAATAACAACCAGTATGACCTGTTGGTTAATGCATTCTCTGACTCATAAGAGATGTATCATTTTATCACGGCACAAATTTTGCTGGGTGGTTTTCTTTAGAGTTATTTGTCAAACCAGAATCAGAGCATAGGAAAGTGTGTGAGTAAGTCAAAAAGATACAGTAGTACCACTATTAGAATAAGGGCTTGGAAAGAGCAAGCCACTAATACTAATGACAACAAGGATGTATCTCAAATGCATTTTGAGAATTGGAAGAGGCAAGACTCAAAAGGCACATACTGTGTGATTCCATTTACACAACATTCTGGAAAAGGGCAGATCTATTAACAGGAGCTTGTGATAGGAGAGAGGGGTGGGGCCGAGAGGAGGGAGCCCCAGTGCATATAGCCTCATGTTTCATTGGCGCCTGAACCAGTCACTGTATTCTTGATCATTACACCAGTCAGGGCCTAATTTTGATCTGGGGAATGAGGGTAGTTTCTCCAAAGGAAAGGCTACATTGTAGTAAGATAGATGCTCTGAACAAATCTGGGTATCATTAGGAAATGGAGGGAAAGGATGTCAAACAGGCAAACGATAATGCTAATACTTTACCCTGAATTTGTTGTTTAACCAAAACCTTGGCTAACTGTGGAATTTAATGACTACATAGTTCTTATTTCAGTATTTTTGAGACCACAAATATTTAAACAGTATTACATTACTTTACCTGAAGATTTCACGTAAAAATACCTCATTTCAGTGCTGCTGTAAGAAGCAAAATGATAACTTTTCACATTAGAACAGATACTGCATAAAGCATAAAAGTAGACCTCATATGCTGAACACAATGAAGCATTCCTACAGCTGAATAGGATTTTATACATAGTTTAAAATGTAGCCTTTGCACAAATTAGACACTGGTTTAAAATATACTTTGTTCTGCTTTCCTATTAGTTTTTACTAAACCCTTACTATGCTTCGTACTTGCCTAGAATGAAAAGGATACTTCAGCAAATACCTAGGTAGAAATTTCTCAACAAAAAGATGTTTAGGTATAAAATAGAAAATGAGTTCTAATAGCACCAAACCCAAGAGCTTTGGATAGTTGAAGAAGGCTCCATGGACAAAGAATGGAAATTCAGCAGGCCATCCAAAAAAAAAAAAAAGTAAGTCTTAAACACCTAAAGAGATAAAGCAAGAATGTATGCCATGGGGGTGCCTGGGTGGCTTAGTCGTTAAGCGTCTGCCTTCAGCTCAGGTCATGATCCGAGGGTCTTGGGATCAAGCCCCACATCAGGCTCCCTGCTCCATGGGAAGCCTGCTTCTCCCTCTCCCACACCCCCTGCTTGTGTTCCCTCTCTCGCTGTGTCTCTGTCAAATAAATAAATAAAATCTTAAAAAAAAAAAAATGTATGCCATGCAGAGAGAATGGAAAGAAGAAAAGTTTGGGAATGGCCATGGACATGTTTTATAACGGTGCATTAGATTGGTGTGTTTGGAGGGAAGGGTGCCTGCAAAGATACAACGGGAAAGAAGTCTGAGACAATGAGTAGAGATGAGATTTGAACAACCCTGAATGATACACAGAGTCTGGATTTTATCCTGCTGGTGAAAAGAGGACTGTTGGAAGTTTTGCTTCTATGGAAAGTAGAATGATCTTGGCAAAGCAGAGTTAGAAAGATTGCCATACAACAGCATGCAAGGTGGGTCTGATTAGCCAAAAAATGGTAGAATCAGATCAACTGGGAGCTATTGATTGGCTGGGCTTGACATATGGTATGAGCAAAACCGGGTGGCAGGGATGAAAACTTAAAGGATGGATGCTAATGATATAATATGAGTAGGAGCTCATAGCAGCTGGATTTTGTGGTAGGGAACTAAGTTTAGAGAGATTCAAGATGCCAAAGCCAGGTAACTGGAAAGGGATGGAACCATCATCAGGCTGGTAAAGTTCTGGTGGGGTAGGGTGGCATGGGGTAGGGTGGGAGGTGGTAAGAGAGAGGTTTTCCTGAAAAGATGAGTTTGGTCTTACACTGACAGCATGTCAAAGTGGTAATAAAAGTCCAACAATAGTTAGGTTTGTGTTATTGCTACTCATTCATGCATTCAGCAATATTTTATTGAATGCCAGTATTTTATTGAAGACAAGAGAGAGTTACCAAGTTAGCGAGAAAAAAAGTGTTCCCATTCTCATGGAACTAGCAAAGCTATACAAATATATTTAAGGGCTAAGTAAACATACACTGAGGGAATAATAAAGTGTTTGTATTTAAGATAATATGGGTAGAGGGAGGGGAGGATTGATGAAACAAGATTAACAATGAGTTGATAGCTGTTGAATCTTAGTAACGGATACGTACTGGTTCATTTTACTGTTTACTCATATGTGATTGGAATTTTCCCTAACATTTTTTAAAAAGGCAAAAAGTTGGGTACATAGAGCTAATAATTAGACAAGGTATCTGAGAGAATTATGAAATCATGGCTAAAGAGTGGCCTGAGAGAGGCAGGGAGAAAATGAGCCAAATACAGTATCTAAGAAAGATAAAAGGTGTTTTAAGAACAAAGATGAGAGTGTTAATTTTGACAGAGGCTAAAGATGTTCTAAGTTAAATCTAGAAGATTATTTTAATTTTGTTCATTTCTGGTTGGATGGCCCTTCATGGCTGAAATGAATTGGGTACCTGAGAAGCTTGAGAAAACTGTTTTGACCATCTGATAAGGTGTTTATTACTTGAAAAATATGTCCAGGCTTTATTTCCTAATATGTGAACATCTGTTGTATTTTTAGGAAACTAATGAGCAAAAGCTTCACAAAATAGCCAACGAACTTTTGCTTACAGAAAGAGCTTATGTCAACCGACTTGACCTCTTAGATCAGGTAAGATTTTCCCTTTCAGGGTTATTTTTTGGCATTGTACATCATTTTTAGTAATCAAGGGGTTTTAGGAACTATAAGAAGGGCATGACTTTTTAGCCAGTGAAAGCTTTTTCTTCAAGGAAATCTTTAGGATTTTTAGCTTTGTCAGTGAATTCACTAGACACAAAGGGTTTTCAATTCATAAAGAGCAGATTCAAGGACTCTCTGTGAGTCACAAAATGCCTTTATGTGTATCTTTTAACACTAAACACTAGTATGTTTCTTGACCATTTGTTATGATCCTAGAGCCATGTTACCATTATCATCTAAATAAGAGATTGGTGATTCTAATTCGTACGTGAATATGTCACTGATTCTATTTGTCTCATGCACTCTTCAGCCCCATGTGAGTCATCTGAATTAATGGAGTATTAGGGCCAGAAGAATTTTGAGCGTTCACTTGTTCAAACTTGTAGGAGACATCTAATACAGTGCCTGGTGTAAAGTTGCATAGTCAATATTTGTTGGTAATGACATCCTACTTTTTCACATTTTGTACTCTCATCACGGAGCCTCTCGTTTGAAATACACATACGTTTACAAAGAAAGTTTTAAAATGCGTCATAAGAACACTTGAAAACTAAGGCCTCTTAATATTGTTTTAATGATAAAAGAACAAGGTAATTGGTAGATTGTTAATGTAGACTTCTCTTATTAGAAGAGAAAGTTGCCATGTTTGAGTGTTAATTATAAGAAGAATTGTCCCACTTCTGCCATCGGAAAACTGGAACTTCATGGGAACACGCCATCCTGGGTATTATACCTCCTTATCGTCGGTTCCTAGAGTGAACTCTGGCCCTGTTAGAGTGAGCCTTAAGGGATCAGATTAAGCATTCTGTTCTTTGAAATAACGAGTTTGTGACTTAAATACTCACTTTCCAAAGAATTTCACTGTAAGTCCATCAATTCATGTTGAGTTTGTACCTTCGAAACAATTTTTTTCCTCATGGGGATTACAGACCTGAAATGTTAGGTATTCCCATCATGGAGACATGTCTTTTCCTCTTACCAGGTTTTGTGGGTTTTTGGTTTTTGTTCTTCTTTATTATTTTAGCCGTATTAGCTTGTCAGCTGCTATTGCTGACCTTTTAGAATTTTAGAGTCTTAATTAATATCCTTTCTGTTGGAGTCTCTAAGGACATAATTTTGTGTTCTTTTTGCCTCCCAAGAAAATGCAGTGGAGGTGAATTTAGAAAATTAACAACCATCTGGACATTATGAAGGAACAGACCTCCTTCTGCCTACATTTAACAGAATGGCAATTAAGAGGTATAGTAGCCCTAGTGGAGTATAGCTAAGACTGCAATTTTTTTAAAAATTGTTTTTAAGATACTCATTATTATGTACAGGAGATCTTTTTATCCTCTTGTAAGTGTTCAAGTTATCATGCATTATTACTTACTTAAAAGCAAGAAAACATCTGTGAACTGAAATTCTTTTATTTATCCATTGACCAGATATTTATTAAGCACCTGTTCTACTGTGGGAACTAAACTGTGATGGCCTCCCTCCCCAAGGGGGCATACAGGTTTTAATAGGGAAAATGAGATTTATGCCAACAAATTACAGTAAAGGGCAATATGATACACGTGCCGTCAAAGTCATTCAAAACATAAAGAGGAGTGAAATGTACCACAATTGTTGTATGTTAAGCTTTCCATCTCTCTTACTTCTACTTATAGATAGGAGTAAATCCCTTTACCTCACTTGGAAATTCTCTGGCATAGAAAAGGTTAACATCCTCCAAATAGATGCATAGCCTAGGTTAGAGTCAAGGTTTCTAATTCTAATTCCTGGTTCTTCTCAATCAAAGCATATATTCAGACATTTCAAAAATGATTTATTTCTTGAACCATGAACCTTTTCATTGATTCAACGAAAGTTACTAAGAGCCCACTATATGCCCAGCACAGTGCTAGGTGGTAACCAATAAAGTTAAAGTAATGTTTGCTTTATTCTCTTATTCAGGTATTTTACTGCAAATTATTAGAAGAAGCAAATCGAGGCTCATTTCCAGCAGAGATGGTGAATAAAATCTTTTCTAATATTTCATCAATAAATGCCTTCCATAGTAAATTCCTATTGCCAGAGCTGGAAAAACGAATGCAAGAATGGTAAGAGGAGTAGATGGCAAATGATATGTCTAAGGCAGTCACATTAGGTGCTGCGTTATTTGCTTTTAAATTGAAACAAGGGCGCCTGGGTGGCTCAGTCGGTTAAGCGACTGCCTTCGGCTCAGGTCATGATCCTGGAGTCCCGGGATCGAGTCCCGCATCGGGCTCCCTGCTCAGTGGGGAGTCTGCTTCTCCCTCTGACCCTCCTCCCTCTCATGCTCTCTGTCTCTCATTCTCTCTCGCAAATAAATAAATAAAATCTTTAAATAAATAAATAAATAAATTGAAACAATAATGCTACACAGAGCTATAGCCAAACATTTGAGTTAAATTTTTACTGTAAAGACCACTGATAAGGAGTTGTGGTACATTTTTAGCTTTGGTTGAAAAGGATTTCATCTCTGCTCTCCAAACTATCTTTTGATTAGTGGAGATGAGATATCAGGGGTAATCTGGAGCTTTAAAAACTCCATAGCATGTCTCTTTACTATGTCATTCCTAAACTCCCTCTAAAAAGGTGCTGCTTCATTCTCTACCCATCTCATGGCAAGGTGGGTCTGATGAAGCACAGGGAGTGTGTAGAAAGTGATCACTTCATTTGGAGTCCTGTTAATTCACTTACTCTCTAAGAAATCTTAATGACCTGTTTCTGTGTTTTGTACAGGGAAACAACCCCTAGAATTGGTGACATCCTTCAGAAATTGGCACCATTCCTTAAGATGTATGGAGAATATGTGAAGGGATTTGATAACGCTATGGAATTGGTTAAAAACATGACCGAGCGTGTTCCCCAGTTCAAATCAGTAGTTGAAGAAATTCAGGTAATTGGACCCTTTTGTTCAAGGCTATGAATTAGTTTTTCCATAGAAATCGTAAGGTCTTCTAGATCTAAAGTTCAGATTGAGACATCTTGTGAGGCCCTATATCTCAGGGGTTAGAGCACTGGTCTTCTAAATTGAGACATCTGTCGGAGACTGCCAAATTCCATGCTATTCTGAATTATGCAAAAATCATCTCTGCAAAATTAACATATTTATTGAGCACATGCTATGTGCTGAGCAGTAAAGTCTGTTTGCTTTTGAGTCTAGCTTTTGTAAAGATCCACATAAATTTATAAAGTGAGTTCCCATTCATGTCTATGCTTCTCTTGCTTTCTTTCGGAGGTTGAGATGATGGAATGAATATATAAATGAATATAAAGAATGATTGCCATAAACCCTGACATTCTGCAAACATTATTATTCTGGGGGGGTGTGTGTGTGTGTCACTTTATATATGTGTCCTGATTTTTTTTTTTTCCAATTTCACCAAACCTGGATAATACACTTTAATAACACCGTAGTAATTTCTATTTGATTCTCTAGTCAAAGTTGTTAATAACGTATTATTTGATAAAGTTTAAAAAATCAAAAAGGAATTCTTTGGATCACATAGGATTTTTGGGTGGGGATTCTGCTGCTCCTCTGTTTTCTTTTGTGCTATATAAATATTTCTTATTTTACCATTTCAATTCCTCTAAATTTTAAAAATGTTTTTCATTTTTTTCCTACTATTTGTTGGGGGAATTATAATATGCATCTTAATTTATCACAGTCTACTTCAGATTAATACTAACCTTAATTCTGGTAAAATACAGGCATTTTGCTCCATTGTAGCTCTGTTCCTCCATGCCCTGTGCTTTTAGTCTCCTATATATTCCCCTTGTAGGTTTTAAATCCAGTAATACAGTGATATAATTATTATTTTATATAATTTTGTCTTTGGAAGAAGGGAGGGTATAAGAAAATATATCTATAAATGTATTAACCCATATATTTATCATTTCTGAAGTAAGTTCCTTTCCACATAAAATGATGTGTTTCTCATAAGGCAGAGATTGGATAGCAACAAATTTTCTTGGTCTTTGTTTATCTGGGAATATCCTTATATTTTTTTCACTATTGAATTGTATTGCTGGATACAGAATTCTTGGTTAATAGTTTTGTTTTGTTTTGTTTCAGCAAAATGCATGTCATTTCATTGTGCTCTGTCCTCTATTGTTTTATATGGGAAGTTAGGAACTGTATTGATATTTCCTGTATGTGATGAATTGTTTTTCTCTTGCTGTTTTCAAATTTATCTCTTTGCTTTTGTCTTTCAACAATTTGAATAAGATGTGTCAAATGTGACTCTTTCTATATTTATCTTGCTTAGGGTTGAATTTTTTAGATGTGTAGGGTTTTTTAATCAATTTGAGAAGTTTTCAGCCATTATTTCTTCAAATAATTTACTCCAATTACACGTATGTTGGTATTCTTGTTATTCTACAAGTTTCTGAGATGATTCATTTTTCTTCAGTCTTTTTTCTATTCTTCAGATTGTATCATTTCTATTAATCTTTCTTTGAGTTCATTGATTTTTTTTTTCTCCTGCCATCTGGAATCTGCTGTCGCGTCCCAGTGGTGCATTTTTCATCTCAGCTCTTGTGCTTTTCAACTCCAGAAATTCCATTGGTCCTTTTTATAATGCCTGTTTCCTCCTTGGAAAGTGCTATTTGTGCATTCATTGTTATTATACTTTTCATGTTTTTCAAATACAATTTCCTTTCATTCTTTGAACATTTTTATAATAGCTACATTGAAGTCTTTGCCAGGTACATCCAGTATCTGTGTTCATAGACAATTTCTTTTGATTGCCTTTTTTCAGTTTAGTAAATAGTAACAGCTTACTATGTCTTTGAATGTCTCATATTTTTTTGCTGAATATTGGACATTTTAGATAACCTATTGTGGCAACTCTGGATTCTGATTTCCCCCACTGAAAGAGGTTTTGGTTAATTTTGTTTGTTTAGTAACTTGCTTAGACTCAATCTATAAAATCTGTCTCTCCTCTGGTGTGCAGTTGCCAATGTCTCTACTCAGCATATGGTTTAATATTCGTGTGTGTGTATATGTGATCCCAGCTTTCTAGGCATTGCCCCTCTGTCTGTGTAGGTTAAGGGTCAAACAGTTATTGAACAGAGATGACTAAACTACCTAGAGCCAGTAAACTGTCTCCTCCTGATGGACCTATGCATAGGGGAACGCATTTAAAGATCAGACCATTTTCAAGTCCACTGGACCCTTTTACATCTCCTGTCTGCATGTTCATAGCCTCAGGGTGGCCCAGAGGGTGTGCTGGCTTAAGCTCTCATCTCTCTCTGCTGATCATTCACACAGCCTTAGCCAAGAATATTATTATCTAACCTCCCACCTCCAACCACAGCTTCAGGCTAGTAGAGCCATTGGTCTTCCCCACTTGCCCACCTTCACTTTCACTGACAGTGTTGCTGGATGTGTGCATTGCCCACCACTCCAAATCTAATGAGCCCTCTCAACTTTAGCAGAGACGCTGCTAGTCCTCACAGCCAGTCCCACCCAAATTGAACCTTCCAGTCATTGAATCTTCATTTGCTAGGGGAGGAATGGGTGGGACCCCAGGCCAGAATGCCACAAATTCTCACTGTTCTTACCCAAAGGTCAACAGTTTTTGAAGCATAAATGCTTTTCAGATTGTTCTGTGCCTTTGGTCAATTTCCAGATGGCTGAAATGGTTGTTTTATCAGTTTTATCCAGCTTTCTAGTTGCTTTTTCCAGGGAGGATTTTGCCAGTCTCCTCCCTCAGCCATAGACAAAAGTCCTGCCTCTTTCCATTCACTTTTTTCCTTTTTCTTCTCTCACGATTAAGCACTCATCTACCTTTCTGAACTCTGGCTCCTTTGATTCTTTTACTAGCCCCTTTGGCTTAAACTGTGATGTGGACAGAGTACAGGGTTGATTGACTCCTCGCGTTCTTCTTGGCCTTCACACCCTCATGTTCCTGGGCCTTTAGCCATCATGTCCTACAGATGCCTCTAGGGTCATTGTTTCTAATCTTTTCCTACCTCTAAACTGTCATAGTGCATTGGGAATCAACCAACTAAGTTTAACATTCGGCCGCTTAGTCACTGGACTTCAGAAGACTCTAACTTCTCTGAGCCACAGTTTCTTCATGTAAAAATGTGGAGATCAGTAATATTTTCCTATATTTCCTATACATATAATATATAATAATATATATGTTTCCTATACACATATACAATAGATTTTTTGGAGAAAGTCAAATGAAATGACTAAACTTATATCATTAGTATTTTATACTGTAGTAAGGAAAGCTATTATTTCTTCAGCTTCCATGTTGATTTCAGGCTCTTTATACATTTTTTTCCTGGTCTACACCATAACTTCCAAACGAATTTCCCCACATCTCCCTAAAGCCACACTGCAGTAAGTTAATCTTAATACATCTCAGATCTAATGATACTACTCTCCTGCATGAAAACCTGCATTTGATGAAGCAAGTCTAAACTCAGCTTGACTTATTACCCCAGATTACCTTTTCTTCCTCATCCCCTGTGTGTGTGTGTGTGTGTGTGTGTGTGTGTGTGTGTGTGTTCCCACTGCCATTGGCCTGTTCTCCATGGTCCCTCTTTGGGCACTTGTCCCTTGGTTGTCTTCCCTTCCCACCAGAGTCTGCCCTCATCAGAGTTCACGTCCAATGCTCTCTTGTCTGTGAAGGCTTTAGTTTCTTGTTTGCTTTGAATGCAAACATCATGTCTTAATACAACTTTTATACCTGACAGTGCCTTGATCATGGTATGAGTTCAATAAGTATTTTAATGGGATTCTTCATTTGTTTAATATGAACAAGAACACATCTTATTTTTCAAATAATCTTTTCCCTGTCTTATGTTAACAGTTTATTAAAAATAAGGGCTATAGACTCAATTTTGCTGTAAGAAAAGGAGATCTATTTACAGAGTTCAGTTTCTAATGGAAAAGACTGGCATGGCCTAATGAAAAACTAAAATTTTGTGAGAGATAATAAGATGCTCAGATCTTGTCATTCTTCTATGTGGAGTCTTTTTAAGTTCAAAAGAAATGACATTTATGGTAGCCTTATTATTAAATAGTTTCTGCTGAGTCCAAAGTCATGTAATACTGTTGTGCTTGTGAACCTCATTAAATATATGCATCTTTTAAAAATCTCTGGAGTATGATTCAATAATGTGACCACATAAACCCTCCTAGTGACTAATTGAAGTGGTTACCAGCAATCTGGAATTTTCTTCCTTAAAATTCTGCTTGATTTTTTTTTCTGTTCTTAGACTAGATTGGTGGGCCTCAAACTTTAATGTTGTAAGAATCTGGGATATTTTAAAATGCGTGTTCGCAGGCCTTAGCCTCAGAGATTGGGAAAGGGTTCAGAATTTGCATTTTTAATAGTGCCTTAGATCGATCTAATGCAAGTGTCCACAGACCACACTTTGTAGGGAAATACTGTCCTTGATGAAAGTTCTGTATGACAGTGAGTTTTTAGATGGGCCAATTTCATTTTTAAATCTTTCTTCAAAAACCTTTCTCATTGTAGAAACAGAAGATCTGTGGGAGCTTGACTTTGCAGCATCACATGCTAGAACCTGTTCAGCGGATTCCCCGGTATGAGATGCTCCTGAAGGACTACCTAAGGAAATTGCCCTCTGATTCTCCCGACTGGAATGATGCTAAAAGTAAATGCTTCTCTCCCGCCCCCTTTCTATTGTGGGGTAATCAAGTGACCTGGCAGCCTTGTGGTTAAAGAGCAAGATATATCTCACAGCCAATTTAGTAAAATATTGCTGCCAAAAAATAACCTCACTGGAAATTGTCATCAACATCTCAATTAGGCAAGCCCTTCTGAGCCCAAATCACAGGTTTAGAGCAATGCAAATCATATTTCTCATGCTGATTTCACGTTAATCATTAACTCAGAAATCTGAAACTATAGTCTTAGAGACATCTGGAATAGCAATACACAATTACCTTCTCACAGGAAGAATACAACCATTCAGAATTACTGGTGCTGCTGGTTAATTAGATAGGTTGATGCATACCAAGAGAGCTAAAATGACATTTACTGTGTAAAAATAACCTAAGCTAAGTTGGCTCTACCTACCCTAAAAGAGAAGAGAAAATGATGCTTTGTAGTGTCAGTTAACATTTTCCCGGGAAAATTTTACTCCCGTTCTTCTAGTTGTTTTCTATTTTTTCTTTAGAGCTTAACGAATGGGTTTTTTTAAGGCTCAGGAGTTTCAATACTTTAGCTTTCTCATGTACTTTTTTTTTTTTTAAAGATTTTATTTATTTATTTGACAGAGAGCGACACAGCGAGAGAGGGAACACAAGCAGGGAGAGAGAGAATACAAGCAGGGGTGGTGGGAGAGGGAGAAGCAGGCCTCCCTCCGAGCAGGGAGCCCGACGCGGGGCTCGATCCCAGGACCCTGAGATCATGACCTGAGCTGAAGGCAGACGCCCAACAACTGAGCCACCCAGGCGTCCCTCTTATGTACTTTTTAAAAAAAATATCAAAGCATATGACTCTTGATCCTAGGGGTCATAAGTTCAAGCCCCTCATTGGGTGTATAGTTTACTTTAAAAAAAAAAAAATTTATAAGGGGGCAGCTGGCTGGCCCAGCCAAAAGAACATGTGACTCTTGGTCTAGGGGTCATGAGTTCAAGTCCCACTTTGGGTGTATAGCTTACTTTAAAAAAAAATTTTTTTTAATTAAAAAAAAATAAATCAAGTAACTGAAGGGTAGAATACAAGTTTAAGAGATAGAAATGGCTTAGTGTCAAGAACTAACTATGCTGCTGTACAATCTTGAAACATTGGTACTTTGCTAGTAATATCTTGTCTTTATTATAAGTGTACCCTGGTAAGAGATGAGGAACACAGAATACAGTCTTTCGTCTTGGCAGCCTGGGTCTTTTTTTTTAACAGAGGCTTTCTCTGATACATTTCTCCTACCACCCAAGTGAGTCAACGACCACAGGAACTTCTCTACTTCCCTTTCCCCCTTTACAGTTTAGAATTATCCTGACTTGACTTTTTCCACTTTCCACTTCATGCCCACTTCCCACTCATCTGGGCTGCATGGCTGGTTTTGGTGGCAGAACTAGTGGTAGGACTGAAGGTGGGATCACCACTGCTACTCCAACTGCTGATCTCAGGTTATTTTATTTCTGTCTCCCTCTACCTTGGATCCTGTAGGGAATGCACAGAATTGCCCCCGTCAGGATAGTCCTCCAAAGTCTAAATAAAGATTCAGTTTCTTCTATACTCAAAGACTTAGACTTGCCCTAAGCTGGCAGTGTCAACAATGAGAAGGTTAACAACGCTGTAGGGTATTTTATTTTATTACTCTCTTTGGTTGCCCACTGCTCCTTAAACTAAAATTGTAAGGAAATCACAGAGGTGCTTTTAGAGACCCAAAGTAGAGGAGGATGCAACAAAAGTGCATTCTGTTCAGCCATGGAACAAAGAAGACAGAGTATTTGGTCTAGAAGTAATGAGGTTGTTGCGGTAACGGAATTAATCAGGCCAGTATTCATAAGATAGAAAAGAAAGAGCAGGTCATGATTTAGGATTGAGAGCATTCCCTGGGGTTGATCCAGCAGGAGGCCTCAGCCTCCACAGCTCTTCACCAGCGGTGCTGGAACTCCTACCTTGCCCTTACCAGATGGTGCCCATTTCCATCTCTCCCACCACCTGCTCAGCAACAAAACCTTCCATCAGCATTGGCATCAGTGGATTCCCCCTCACCTGACCAAGACTAGAACTGTGAGTGTGTTTTCCCAAAGAAAGTTGGTTATGCTTGGTGGTTAATTTGCTCATTAAACAGTATTCCTGCTGAAATGTTGTAGAACTTTGAACCAGAAGATGTAGGTGTCCCAGTGTGGCCCCACAGTATCATAGTTGTGTGACTTTAACCAAGCCACATCACTTGCCATTTGTTTCATCTGCCAAGTGGAGCTGGCTCATGGACTCTCCATTCGAGGTTGTGTAAGAATGAAGCAACATAGGGGTGCCTGGGTGGCTCAGTCGTTAGGCGTCTGCCTTCGACTCAGGTCATGATCCCAGGGTCCTGGGAT